ATCCCATGTTTCCCTAAACCGTGGCCTGGTAAATTGGCCATTACAATATCTGTGGGTTGTTGTTTTTTAATAAATTCCTTCTAATTGCAGCATTAAACCCCAGATGTCATGTTTCCAGGTTTCCAGTTTGGACTTAAGCCAAGCTGGAAAAGACATCCATCCACTCGAGGCAAACAGCCAAGGAGAATGTGTGCGGTGAAGTAGGGGACTTGGTCCAGTTACCAAACCTCGGGCTCCGGGCCCCCAGATCTAGCGCCATAGAACACAGAGGGAGCCTTGGCCGGAGTGGAGGACGGAGCAAAGCTACCATGTTTCCTGCTGCATCCACCCCTCCCCCAAATATCCAGGTTTACTCTGGTTGTTTCTAAGAGGAAAAATTCCCCGTAAGTTATTCATCACAATTCAAATAATGCACTAATTTCATTTGATAAGTAAATTGTCAACAGCCTTTAAAAATTGGTCATGTAATTAGGAAGTCTATGCATTCTGACCTCTTCTTCCATCTCGATGAAATCGTCGTAAACCTGCACTATAATCAGACAAAAAGAATCTTGAAACCTCCCAGGCATTCTTTTTTGATCTATCATTTGCCTCTTTAATTGCTACCTTTCTATTGTGTAGGGAATAATAGAAGTAAAATGTCCTTGTTTTTAATTGTAAGAATTTAGCTTGTACTAAAATGTGTAATGAAGGTTCCCTTTGGAAACTTTCTATCAAATGCAAAAATCTAAATTGTTTTATTAAAAATCTATGCATTGTGTTTTTATACAGAGATGCTCACAGCAATTTGTTTTTTAATAGTAAAATTTTAGGAATATCCTAACTCTACACAAATAAGAGAATAATATTCCATTCAGTGGAGCAGCCATTTAGAGTTATTTACCAAAAGATTTTAATAAATTCCAGTGGTGGGATACAGAATTATATGTATACAACAAACATAACTTCAGGGTTTTTTTCTCTTTTTTAATTAAACACATATATGTAAAATCAAAGCCTAAAAACAAAATACTCAAAATTATTCGATAGGCAATAGGCTTGTGAGTGATTTTTATTTTTTATGTAGTTTATATTGTTTGTGTTTTTCAGGGAGTATAAATTATTATAATAATTAAAAATGCATGTGTGTTTGTATATATTTTAATGTAATCATTCAGCACTTCAGCTGTTTAGAACTCAGGTATCTGAAAAATCTGGAACACTGCTGAGATCCTGGAAGTAATAAAAAAATTAACTCTAAGCAGCCAAAACTAATGTTGCAAAACTCATAAAGCCAAGTGTGTTATGCCCCGGCCATGTGCTGGCCCCTCACTCAAGCCGATGTACTCTTTTGCACACAGTTCTCAGGCCATCCACTACACGAGGGCACAGTGAGCTGGCAGACATTAACAAAAGACAAGGGCCTGCAGACAAGTGCATCGGCGCACATGAGCCACCAGCCTGGCAGTGAGAGAGGACCCAGGGAAGCGTGGGTACAGGTGGCAGAGCCCAGAGACCCGGACTTGTGCCCCTGAGTGTCCTGTCATCTCTTCCCCATGTCACAGTTCAGTAACACATGTTCATAGTGATGGCCCAGTGTTATTAAGAAAATCCTCTTTTCTTCAGCTTACTCTTTTTAAGATTGTAAGAGAGACTTTGGGGCACCTGGGTGGCTCAGTTGGTTGAGCATCTGACTCTTGATTTTGGCTCAGGTCATGATCCCAGTGTCATGGGATTGAGCCACATGTCAGGCTCTGTGCTGAGCATGGAACCTGCTTGGGATTCTCTCTCTCTCTCTCTCTCTCTCTCTCTCTCTCTCTCTCTCTGTCTTCCTTTCTCTCTCTCTCTCTCCCTCTCTCTCTCTCTCTCTCTCTCAAATTAAATATATATATATGTATATATAATAAGAAAGACTTTAATAAAAGTGCTTGAAAAGTCTTACTGCACATGACTAAAATGGGGAGAAAGACAACATGTGGTGATTAAAGGGCAAATTTTAGATATGTAGACTTCCTTGTCTACCTGTAATAACTCATCTTTTTTACCATTATTCAGGGGGGACATTTTACCGTTACTTGGACTTTCCAAATTGTATCCGACATTATCATTCCCTGGGTTCTCATAAAAATCTAAAGGAACTGGAGAATGCTGCAAAAATCAGGATGTCAGGGGGCACCTGGGTGGCTCAGTCGGTTGAGCATCCGACTCTTGATTTCGGATCATGATTCATGAGATCAGGCCCTGAGTCAGGCTCTGCGCTGACAGTGTGGAGCCTGCTTGAGATGCTTTCTCTCCCTCTCTTTCCACCCCTCCCCCACTTGTGCGCATGCATGCGTTCTCTCGTGCGCGCAAAGTAAACATTTTTTTTAAAAATTGGGATGTCAGAAAATGCCAAAGTCTCTACCTCGTACAGACTTAGAATCCATCCATTAAAACAGGAGTAGCACCCCAGAGCTTAGATACAGGCTGAGCGGGTTAGATGAGAAGGCCTGTGTAATGGCATTTAGCTTGAGGTGTGGCATTCCATTGGCACTTAGCAAGTGTCAGTTGAATTTGAATATGACTTTCCCACTTGGGACACAACAGACAGCGTGGGCTCTGGAGTCCGACCAAATTTGGCTCAGATGTGGGCTCTGCAGCCTTGAACAAAACCACCCACCTGCCTACCTTTTCCACAAGGTAGATGCGAGGGTTCAACTTTATTGACGTACAAGAAAATGGTAGCTGCCTTCCCATTATAGTTGAGAGGAGGGATGTGAAACTTTATTACTTTTCTGTTGTACAGAGCTGTGGAGAGCTTTCAAGGGGTCTCGGAATCAACGAAGGCTACAAAATCCCCTGTCCTCTTGTGTCGTAAGCACAGCTTGCGCCCAGGTCTGTTCCTCATGCCCTGCTTTTTGTCAGCCCACCTGCAGCCCAGCAGAGAAGCAGAGCAGAGAGCCCACAGGGTGGGGCCAGGTGGCGGTGGCAATGAGGGTATCATGTCGTTCACCCTTCGTGGCAGTGAGTGCTTAGGCACCTGGCCTCTGGCTGTGTGCCAGCGACGTCACCTTCAGCATTCCAGGCTGGTTCACTTGGTGCTTCTCACCCTCCTGGGCTGGGTGGCAGCTGAAAGCTTGGCCTGTCTGCTCCAGAAAAAAAAGGGTCTGTGGGTGGTGCTGATGCTTTGTTTTGGTTTGATTACCTGGGCCCCCTGCAAAATCATTCAGAGAGGGACACTGTCAGCAAGTGGTATAGTAAAAACAACAAGATTGGCAAAAATGTGTGGCTTACCCAATCGCTGTGAGTTCTGACAACATATTAACTGAAAACCTAGATTAAGGCCAGTAGATTTGGCTCTGTTTTGTTTTGTTTTTCTTGAGGACCAAAAACAGTAATTTACTGGGCTGCTTGTGCTGTTTTATATGCACCCCAGTGACCACCCCTAATTATGAAATCTCTCCAGGCACCCACGCTCATAGCCAAGCAATGGAGTCTGGTAGCCCATGGATTAGAAGTCTGGTGGTTGCCTTTTTGCAAGAAGAAGAACCCTTGCTTAGGTGTCAGAGACCACAGGCATAATCTACCAGAAAAAATCTGAAAGAAAAGGGAGCAGGGAGCTGGCATAAGGGCTTGTGGCTGTGGACACGGGTGGAAGGAACCCTAGACCCTTCCTTCTTTTTCAGGGCACTTATCACAACTGTAATTTGAAAATGTATCATTTCAATAATTATGGGGGCCTTTCTTCTGCAAGATTGGAAGCTCCTCAGAGGTAGGGCCTGTCCTGTCTTGTATCTGTTTCCCCTCCCCGAGGCTGGCACATGTAATAGCTGTCTGTTGGGTGAGTATAGTTTCAAGTCTCGTCTCTTTTCCAGCCGAGTAGCTGTTTTGTAAGTCACTTCTGTGCGTGTGTCCTCATCGGAAGAATACATACAAGTCAAAGGGATCTTGGGTTTGCACCTCCATCTCTGGATCAGTCTTTTCCTATCAGTGAATTGAGCTATCTTCATCCAAGTGTAGTATCTAGAACTGTGATCAGTGCCACAGGGGTGGCTTAAGTAGCCCAGCATTGAACACGACCGTCATTTCCAGGGTCTGGATACTCGATTTCTATGAACTCATTATTATTTATTGTTTCAGACTTAAGAGCAATAGCGTATACCCTGCTTTCCTGACAGGGTTTTTGTGAGAACCAAGTGAAATGGCATATGTGAAATGTCTTCAGGAACTAAAATGCTAAACACTGATTGTTATTGCTGGCCCAAAAGTATCTTCCTGAGAAGGGACTCAACTTCAAAAGAAGGCACTGAAGACCGAGTATTGTAAAATGTGTGCGTGACTGACCTGGTAGAAGAGAAGCCATTTTCCAAATTAATTTTTCATTACAAAAAATATAGATAGATATACATATTAGATAGATAGTAGTCCATTAGATTGTCCATTAGATAGATAGATGTCTCCTTGGTTCCCTCTCTGCCAGTTCTCTAATGCAGGGTGATTAGCATTTGGGTATCAGAAAGCCTGTTGGTCATCAGGTCGTGAGGCGTGGGTTGTAGTCTAGCCTGCCACTGCCTCCCTGAGGTTATCAGGGACAAGTCATTTAACTTCTCTGCCAAATAAGGATGCCTGCTTCATGACAATAAGTTAAGCATTGAATAGTTAATACAAGAATATAAATACCGATAGCCCTTTGGACCAGTAAGGTTGATTACATCCCTCAGATGCCTTTTTTTCCAATCCCACCTCTCCAGGTACTTCATCTCTTCCCCAAAGACATGATTTCTCTCCTCTCGCACCCTGAGCACCATCCTCTGGATAGATTGTAGGGTGTCTTGTATCCTTCTTGAAGGAAGCTCCCAAACTTGAATTCAGACTGCTTCATATTTTTTCTTGCATCTGGACCCTACAGTTAATACTAGACTTGATTATTATCAATTTTTATTATCTCAAACCTAAATATGTTGTTTCCTGTCTCTGGATCCGGAAGTCTTAGGCCAAGTTCAAAAGTTGAAAATAACTTCTCGTTTTTGTTTGTCTTCTAGCGATAGACACCACACCTCCAGCGCAATCCCTGTTCCAAAGAGACAAAGCTCCATATTTGGAGGTGCAGATGTAGGCTTCTCTGGGGGGATCCCTTCCCCAGACAAAGGACACCGAAAACGGGCCAGCTCAGAGAATGAGAGACTCCAGTACAAAACCCCTCCTCCCAGTTACAACTCCGCGCTAGCCCAGCCTGTTACCGCCATCCCTTCCGTAGGAGAATCCGAGAGAAAGACGACATCTCTGTCCTCCTCCTTGGATACCTCCTTGGACTTCTCCAAAGAAAGCAAGAAAAAAGGATCTGACTTGGGTGACAGATTAAGCGGAGGTCACGTGAGCGTGAACACTAGCCAAGAACAAGAAGGAGCCCTCTCTGGACTCCCAGCCGCCGTCAACGGCGCTCTCCTGCCCAGCGAGCAGGCTGGCTCCTCCGGCGTCCGGCTCCCGGGGGCATTCCTCCCGGTGCCGGAGGCCGAGCTCTGCTGTACTGTGGAGCAAGCGGAAGAGATCATCGGGATGGAAGCCACGGGTCTCACCTCGGGCGATCAGCTAGAAGCCTTTAACTGCATCCCGGTGGATAGCGCCGTGGCAGTGGAGTGTGACGAACAAGTCCTGGGAGAATTTGAAGAGTTCTCCCGGAGGATCTATGCACTGAACGAAAACGTGTCCAGCTTCCGCCGGCCACGCAGGAGCTCCGATAAGTGAAGTGAGCAGCCAGCCGGTAGGACCAGGACAGAGTCGCTGCCTGAAATGAGGATAAAGCTGCACTGGTTACCCCTTGTAATAATTATGACACGAAATGAATATTAATGGAGGATATTCCTCGGAAAAACAGACTTTGTAAATCACGGAGGGGCTCAGGATCGTTGTGTATCAGTGGGCCAGACAAAGTTAGAGTTTGCTTGCAAGGTTTGCTTTTCAGGCCTGACAACTGTTTTAAGGCAAAATTCACTCTCTAGCTCGAGTCACCTTAAAGATATTTGTCTGCTTTTTAATTTACACTTCTGTGTTATCCTCAGAGGGAAGATGATAATATATAAATAATATGATAAACTCACCTTTAGTTTCTCATAAGCATTTGCCCTCAACATAGTTTATAAAACTTTGGAAAACCGAATATTCAAAACAAAGGTTTTCACCAGTTAACTCAAAGACCTTTGACCATCCGTTAGTTTGATGAGTAAGAAGCACAATGGTCTCCTTATACCCAGGCCCACCTGCCCCTGCTCCTGCCCCTGCCCCCAGTCAGCCTCTCTGCTGCCCCGTCTTCACAGCAGGTGGGTCGTGCACCCTGAAAACTGAGGACGGCAGAGTCACTGGTTCTCGAATGCGGTAGCCAAGACCTTCCACCTCCTCAGATCAGCCACGCCCTTAACGTAACCCTCCAAGGAGAGGGAAAAATTTCCCCTCTGGTAGATCCCAGGGGACCCTCAAGGGCTCCCAAGGTTGCAATAGTCAGATGACATCCAGTGTCCTCTGGGGGCCAGAGTTTTTACGTGGGCAGACGCTGCAGTCAAAAACCAGGCATGCTTTCTGGCAGTGCACTCACCAGACAAAAATCCCCACATGTAAATCCCATGTTAATTTATTAAATTTCAGTTGGAAAGGAAGGCGCTGTATATGATGAAATACCCGTAGAGAGTCAGGCTGTCCAGTGTGCCGACAGCAAGGCTGTTGAGATAGTTGGATGAAGAGGCTTAGATGAGGCATAGAATACTATTGGTGTATGTGCAGTTGCGTTCATATTAAATTATGTTCTTCAAGTCCAATTTCATCCCCGGAGCTCAGATTTCATTTGCTATTGCCATATACTTTATATACCCAAGGACATTGCCTCAGGGTTGCAAGCTCTTTAAGGAAAATTTATGCATATACCCATGTATTGTATAGAAGAATAAAAACTGAATTTACTTCACTTGACCTGATTTGTTCTTTCCAGTTCTGAAATCCGTCTCGAACCTACATCTCCATCTTCCATCACGACAGGACGAGCCTGGACAGAAACCGTGGCTGTACCTAAGCTAATGTCGTTGACTCGAGCGTGTGCTGTTCCGCACAGCAGCGCAAACACCTTCACAGGTGTTCTCTCCAGGAACTGCATTTGTCCGACGTAACAGCTTAACTCCTAGGTTTCATGGTCATTTTCATATATTGTCCAAGCACTCCTGGGCTCAAGTTCTCATTTACAGCCTTGTTGTCATGCAGAATGGTTCGTGTTGTTGTTTTCCATATGTAAAGAGAACTCACCCAACCCATGCTTGACACATGGACCCAACCTGCAAGCAATTAAGAGCTTTAAGTTGATCTGAAGAAATCCATCGTATTTCACATAAAGAGGTGGAACCACTCCAAACCTAAAGCAGAAGCACTCTAGAGTCACGGCTTCTTCGCAATGTCCTGCCATTCACGGTAGAGTCAATGAGGGGGGTGATATCTGTGGTCTTACATCATGCTGGACTGTGTGGGGTCTTCCAATGAAATAGCACTTACCCCACCCAAAAGAAAAAGGTTCTGGAAGGATTGTGTTAGTATTGAACAGTGGAAGTATTGAACATGTGGCTTAAAGTCCACATATGGGGGTGGACTTTGAACTTCATGCCAAACTTAAAGACAGTGCATGGAGTTGTAGGCCCTCTGGCCTAGGTCCTGGCGCCCCCAGGCAGAGGGACCACACGCAGAGCAGCCACGCGGACTGTGTGTACCTCAGGTTCCACAGAGCCAGAGAGAGCTGGGGCTCTGGGACTCCATCTGCCAGTCTCCTATTTGTGGACTCCCTGATTCTGGGATCCACAGCTTTGTGCGCGCGCGCGCACACACACACACACACACACACACACACACACACCAGCAGCGTGTGGCCCTGCCACTGAATGTGATATTAGGTAGCTCAGAACTGGTTTCCTACACTGGCTTGGTCCACACTGTGTTCGACGATGTTATGCCTCAAAACACCACTTAACGTTTGGGTTCGCTTGGTTTGGGTTTCAGGTTTCCTTGGAGTCTGTTCGATGCCTACAGTTTCTGCCTTGACTTGGGGTAGAACCAACAGTATTGCATGTCTCCGGGAGGAGCTCTGTTTGACATTTTCCAAAGCTGCAGAATTAGTTTTGCCTCTGCTTGGAGTGGCCAAGGCCAAAATATGGGATGAGTTATTATCTCCTACTAATCTTTTTAGTTAGTCTTGTAAATCGCTAAAGAAAATAAAACTTGCTTTGAGGATATAAGTTGAAATGAAAATCCACTACTATCCATGTCTGAACTGCTAAGAGCCCTTTCCGTTTTCATGTAGCGGAGACACTTTGAATGGTCGGCAAGTGTTATCAAATGAATATTTGATTGTGTTCCCTCTCTCCACTTCCCCTTACCCACTTTAGAAATTCCAGAGATTTTTTTTTTCCCCCTCAGAATATTAGTTTTGGAAGATTGTATCCAGCTCTATTTTTTTAGCGGTTCTAATGGTGCCCATTTATCCTGACCTAACTGGTTATTTAAATAATTTTTTAAACCACCACCAATAATAAATGGCATGTGAAACTGATCTGTTGGTAATTGGAAGAAAACTCAGCATCTGTATTTATAAAATAAAATTGATTAGTATTTATTTTGAGAGTAAAAGTGTATGTTATTTCCCAGCTATGTTTGAGTCCTGTCTTCTTCATTGTTTTGAATTTCATATTGAAGCTGAGTTAACTATGAAAACCTTGTTCATCAACCATCAGCCAGCCCTTTCACATTTATTGAGCTAACTCTGTCTCTGTCTGTGAGGGACTGGGCTAAACAAGGTTAATACAAAGATGAATAAGCCCTGGCCTCTGCCATGGTCTCTGGGGGTGGAAGGTAAGGGAAAAAGGCCTATTAACGCTGTTAATTCAGTGTGACAAATCCTGTGATGGAGAGCGGTATAGCCATGCTAGGGAATGCAGAGAAAGCTATTCTGACTCAAGGGTCTGGACCAGTTCGTGGAGGTAACTCAGATGAAAGATCCGCTGAAAGATACAGGAGAAGTTACAGGTAGAGGGAACAGCATGGGCAAAGGCCCAGAGGCAACACAGGGCCTGGAGTGTTTGCAAAACAGCAAGGGGCCTGAATGGGTGTGAAGAAAGGTGAGAGGAGAGGCCTCCAGGTGCCGAGACAAGAGATTTCAATACTTGCGGTGGGCAGCTGCCAGGCACCCTCTCCAGGCTGCCTACTGGGCAGAAGAGTAACTTGCTTAGAGCCCAGTACCAGCCGGCAGCCAAGTTGGCGCTGGACTCTAGTGGTAGTCGCTTGAGTCTGTTGAATCTTTCCTATTTTGTTGTGCAAAAAAAGTCTCCGTCTGACAAAGAGGTGCATCCTTGGGCCCCCAGCGTTTTCCGGGCAAGTATCGCATAACAAACCGCGCGCATCCCCGGGTGGTGTGAACAGCCAGCGTCTGTTCTTTAGAAGCTTGGTTCTGAAGGCCCCGGCTCGGCCACTTTGAACCTGTGATCCTGGGCAAGTCATTGGCCTTTTAAGGAGCCTATTTGTGCATCTGTAAAAAATCGGACTGAACTCTATCCTTGCCGTTACATTTCTATGGGGCCTGCGCCACCAGTGGTGGTCCCTATCGTCCTGCAGGAGGCCACCGCGTAGTGACAGAGAGGATGCCCGGGACTCGCTATCGCCGTTTCCCGTTCTAGCACTTGGGTACGGCCACTTCCACTCTCTGAATCTGGCCCCTCCTCTGTCCAGTGGGGATGATACCGCCTGCCCCCACCCCCACCCCCCACCGGGCTTGTAGAAGAGACACGTGCTTGTAAAGCGCTTAGCGATCATTACAAAGCACCATGGTCACTGGGAGGAGTTGGTCATTCAGCAAGGATCCTGGCATCGCGCGCATCAGGCCTTGGTGGGGCAGCCGAAGGCGGAGATTTACTCTGCACGCACGGAGACTGCGTCAGGACCGAAGCTGGTCTTTCGGAAGACTAAAGCTCTAAACAGATGTCAAGTGTTTTGAGGTGTTTTAGTGGGTGGCATGGACACAGTGTTGAGACAGGGTCTGTGAGCCTAATTAGCTGAATTTGCATGTTTTTTAACACCTGGCAGATGAGCTTATACAGGCCCACCTCATCCGTAAATATTCTCTTACGCCGCTTCTGGCTACCTCACTGCATGCTGAACCGGTGCCCAGGGCTCTTCATCTTGCTTGAAGTAGATACAGGCTTTTTTCTTTTTTTCCCTCCCAGCGCATCTAATTACAGTTTTGTAGGTAGACAGCTCAGCCTTGTGGATTTGAAATGAATAAAAAACACACGTCTATAAAATAATTCCACACATCTTAGAGGCTGGCAAGGTCAGCAATCCAGAAAAAGAACGGTCTTGAACCTAGATAAAAGTGAGAAAGACTGCCAGTTGGGTGACGTAGCTGTAGCCAGCCAAGCCCGGGCACCGAATTACAAGCTGGGGAGCGGCAGGCTTGGATCCCTCCGGTTTTGTACAAAACACGATTCGAATGAGCTTCCCTCGGTCCCCACTAATTACAAGCGGCAAATTAGAAGGAAGGGAAGGTGGGTGTGGACAGAAATTTTGGATAACCCGACTCTTAAGAGGCAGATACACGCGGGAAGGAAGCAGTCTGGGTATGTGAGCCCTCAGCCCGGCAGATCCCACCCAGCCCGCTGCTCACTGGCCACGCCACCCCCAACAAGGCGCTTGACTTCTCTGAGCCCAGGTGCTCCTCCGAAAAGAGAAGCCGGTCCCTTGCTCGGGTTGCCCCTTGTGCCCGGACAGAGATTCCTCCTGCCTTAAGAGCAAATTGGTGTTTGTTCTTCAAAAGCTGCCTCAGATTGCCTCGTGGCCCAGAGCGCGGCAGAAAAAGAAAGAACCCTCACGTGTCCCTCTGCCGGTTGTAAAGAACTTAGGGCTAAACCATTTAACACAGCCTGCCTCTGGTCAGGGTTTTAAGAAATTCGACTAGAATGCCTTTTACTGTTCCTAAAGATGGCCCTCTGTCATCAGAAAAAGGATAAATTAATTTTAGTTGGACAGCAAAGTGCATGAAATATTTTAAGGGAATATATTATCCTGAACGGTTGAAATAAGTTTTGATATTTGAAGGGCTGAGCTTGTTCTCTCAAAAATTTACTTGCAAAAAATGTGCTAATTCCCTTATAGGGAACAACTTATTCCTCAAGGAACCCCGCATCGCTATGTTTTCCACAGACTTCTTGCTCTTCGGGTGAGGGACCCGGCCACTGTTACTGTGATGTGAGACGACCTCCCCGCCACCCAGGCTACCGTTCATGCAGATGGTATGTGAACTTTTGCTCGTGCAACAGAGGTCTCCAGAACCTACTGACCTTGAGGCCAGACCCTTTACTTCTAGAAACCTGCCAGTTGCCTTGACTTCTCTGTTCCCAGCCCCGTCTAATCCCTTTGGTGGCACACATCGGGTGCTCATGAAGTTGGGGGGAGTGGGAGAATGAGACAGAGCATTGATCCAAGGATTTTGTAACTCACACCTGTGTCTGTCTCACGGTCCCTCGGGAGCTCCGTGAAGGCGCAACTCGCCCAGAGTCAGCACCAAAAGTCACTGACGACCTTTAGAGGCAGAACCTTTCAGGGCTTGGTGGAGACTGCGGAGCTGAGTTTTTGTGAACAGTAAAAAGAGGTGCACATATGAGGGATTATCACAGGTTTTCAGTAAACATCCTGAGTGGTAATGAGCCCCCATTCGCTGGGAAACCCGTGCAGGGCCCGAGCCCCTGCTGCCCTGTCCTACAGAGTATCTGCACTGGGGAACCTGCTTTCTCTCCCCAGTGATGCCAAAGCAGGCCCTGACCTCGCCCCAGGGCCTCTTCTGCACCCTAAGCCTTATCAAGGCCCCTTATGTAGCCTGCTCCTTCTCCCCACCCATCTGAACATCCTGCCAGCTGCCTTCTTACAATATAGCTCTTCCCCATTCAGTAGCCCCTTGCTAAGAAGGAGGAGCGAGTCGGGAGGACGTTTCTGCCCAGGGAGTGGAAAAAATCAGCACCTCATGAGCATTGTGTTGTGAGGTGCACTGCAACTTTCCAGAGAATGGAAATGCGTATCTGTAACGGTCAGGAATGCGATGTAACTGTCAAAGTCCGTGAAGCCGGCCATGTAAATTGTGACTCACAGACATACAAGATAGAGGGAGCCAGAGCGTCAGGGAGGCTTTTTTAAGGACTCACCTGAGATGTGGCCAACAGATCTGTCAAGGGGATAGAATGGGGGCAGGGCTACAGCCAGGGCAAGAAGCTGGAGAGAAGGAACCGCCAGGGACCTACCTGTATTTATCTATCCCTTCTGCAAGTAGCTACTGTCTGCATCCTGCGTGCATGGAGGAGCAGTGAGGGAGCGAGGGGGGGGGCAGTGAGAGTGGGGACAGCGAGTGTAGACAACACTCACAAGTTTACTGGTAAAGAAATGGAGAAAAATAGGGTGGGAGCTGGTGCGGAATGTCAGGTGGAGGGCAGATTTCATATAAGTGCGAATGGAAGAATCTTAGCGGGCAGCAGGTGAGTTCAGAAGAAGGCAGAGCAATCAATGAAAGGAGCACCCTGAGTGTGATGCAGACATTACCTGGGTCAGAGGACAGGAGGGAGGCAGGGAGGGCGGGACTGGACCAAAGCGTCCTTCTGCAGTGGGTGGGAGCTGTGGTCTTCCCACCTAGCCCCTGATGCCTGGGATGGGGGCCGGATGGGATGACTGTCCCAGGGTACAGGCCCGGGGCAGAAGGGGCGCCGTGGAGGTGGTGGGAGCTTCCTGGCCTTTTGCAGAAGATTCCTGAGGTTCAGGGGCGAAGATTGGCTGGCTGCCCAGGGAGGGGGCCGCTGTGGCTGGGGTTGCCGCCTGGATTGCAGTCACCTCCGCCCTGGCTCCCTTCGGCCACCCTCCGCCCTCCCAGCCGCCCTCCACACTGCAAACTCCACGCTGCCCTAGACGGCTCTAACCCTCCAGGAACTGTGAAATACAGGAAAGAGACAGACATTATTCACCTCTGCCGGAGGTATTGTACTCGCTAGTTAACCAAATCGTTGATAAGAGGAAGTTTCTCTTACAGAAACATTCCAAGCAAAAGGATTCAGAAGGGATAGTAGAATTAAATTATAACATCTAAGACAATGATCGTCGGTGACGGCTAGTGTCACAAAGAGAGAGAACCAGACATTTTATGGCTCCTGATAAAAGAGCACCCATGAAGTAGCCTTGTCAGAAGTTTGACCCTGCTTAAAGTTTGCCCCTCAATGTGGTCAAACCTCTCCCTGTGATGTCCGATGCAATAGACACTGGTCGTGAACGGCTATTAAGTAATCGAAAAGTGGCTAGTTCCAACTGAGATGTGCTGTAAGCATAAAATATGCCCTGAGTTTCAGAGATTTAGCACAAAAATAGAATAATTTTATGTTGATAACTTTCGTATTGATTACATGTTGGAATGATAATATTGTGCATGCATTGAATTAAGTAAAATGTGACAACTAATTTCATCCGTTTCTTTTGCTCCTTAAAAGGTAACTACTAGAAAATTTAAAACTACATATGAAATTTGCATTTGTGGCTCACTTGGTATTACTGTTGCACAGAACGGCTCTGGTTCTACTAGTTACTCTACGG